TGGTTTTCACACTCACATTTAGGTCTATTAACCATTTTGAGTTTACTACTGTGTATGGTATATGTTCATGTATTGTTTCAGGGTTTTTTTGCACATTTATCTGTTCGATTTTCCCAATAATATTTATTGAAGGGACTGTTGTGACTCCATTGTATGCTCTTGCCTCCTTTGTCAAATATTAGTTAAGTGTAATGGCTTGGGTAGATGTCTGGGTTCTCTGTTCTCTTCCCTTGATGTATATACCTATTCTTGTGGCCGTACCAAGCTGTTTTGATTACTATGGCTTTGAAGTGTAATTTGATATCTGGTACTGTGATCCCTCCACCTTTGTTCTTAGTTCTCAAGATTGCTATGGCTAATTGGGGTCTTTTTTGGTTCCATATCAATTTTTGGAGTATTTGTTGTAGATCTGTGAAATATGCTGTTGCTATTTTAATAGGGTTTACATTGAATCTGTAGTGTGCTTTGGGGAATATGGACGTTTTAATGATGTTAATTCTACCCAATCCATGATCACGGTATATTTTTCCACTTGCTTATATCTTCCTCCATCTCTTTATTCAACATCCTGTATTTTTCTTAGTACAAGTCTTTCACCTGCTGGTTAAGTTTATTCTTAAGTATCATAATTTTTTGATGCAATGGTAAATGGGATTGTTGGTTTGGTGTCCTTTTCTTTCTTTTTAAAAAATGTATTTCTTTGTTGATTTCAGAGAGGTAGGGAGAGGGAGAGATGGAAACATCAATGATGAGAGAGAATCATTGGTTGGCTGTGTCCTGCAGGCCCCTTTGTTTGGATTGTGCTGCAACCTGGGCATGTGCCCTTGGCCAGAATCAATCCCGGGACTGCTCAGTCCACAGGCTGATGCTCTATCCACTCAGCCAAACCGGTTAGCAATGGTTTCCCTTTCTGATAATTTATTATTGGTGCATAAAATTTCCATTGATTTATGGTTGTTAATTTTGTATCCTTCTACATTGCTGAATTCATTTATTAAATCTAGGTGT